ATTCCTCGCGCACCTCATCAACCAGCAAGTCGCGCACGAAATGCTCGCCGGCGCAGATGCTCCTCCTGCTGTTGCACAAGCCGACCGACGACAGTGTGGAGATTGCCGTCAACTTCATGCGAGAGGTGGGCCAACATCTACAAGAAATGCAGCCGGCCATTGCGTTGGCCGTGTGGGACCAGCTGCGGAACGTGTTGCACGAGGCAGACATCGACAAGCGTGTGCAGTACATGGTTGAGGTGCTCTTCCAGGTGCGCAAAGACAGCTTCAAGGACAACCCACCCATCAAGGACGAGCTCGACTTGGTGGAGGAGGAGGACCAGATCACGCACCGCGTCGACCTCGACGGCGAGATTGACGTCCAGGACGGTCTGAACATTTTCAAGTATGACCCGGAGTGGGAAGAGCACGAGGAAGCCTACCAGAAGCTCAAAGCCGAGATCCTCGGCGAGGGCAGTGATTACGAGGACGATGATGACGAAGACGACGAGAGCTCCGAGGAAGAAGACAATGAAGAGCAGAAGGCCATGGAGATTAAGGACCAGTCCAATACCGACCTCGTCAACCTGCGACGAACGATCTACCTCACGGTCATGTCGTCCATCGACCCCGAAGAAGCGGTGCACAAGCTGCTTCGGATCAATTTGCCGGCTGGCCAAGAACCGGAACTGCCATCCATGATTGTCGAGATCTGCTCGCAGGAGAAGAACTTTACCAAGTTCCACGGACTCATCGGCGAACGCTTTGCGAAGCTCAACCGATTGTGGACGGGTCTTTTCGAAGACTCCTTCATCGATTACTACAACAAGATCCATCGGTATGAGACGAACCGTCTGCGCAACATTGCCATGTTCTTCTCTAGCCTGCTGGCAAGCGATGCAATCGGATGGCATGTACTTTCTGCGATCCATCTAAACGAAGAAGAGACGACAAGTTCTAGCCGTATCTTCATCAAGATTCTGTTCCAACACCTTGCTGAGGAACTCGGCATGCCCAAGTTGCAGGCTCGCACAAAGGATGAGATGCTGCAGCCCAGTCTGTCAGGCATTTTCCCGCGCGACAATGCCCGCAACATCAGGTTCTCCATCAACTACTTCACCAGTATCGGCATGGGTGCGCTCACTGAAGACATGCGAGAGTATCTCCAAAACATGCCCAAGCCAGCACTCCCAGCCCCGGTGGCCGATGACTCGGACTCGGACTCTGTCTCGAGCTACTCATCCTACACTGGCTCTTCGTACTCTCGCTCGAGGTCACGCACACCTCCTCGCCGCGCCATCGACCGCGGCCGCTCATATTCGCGATCCCGATCGCCTGAATCTCGGAGCGGCAGGAAGCGATCGCACAGCCGCGGCAACAGCTCTTCCCGTTCGCGGTCTTATACGCGCTCTCCTTCTCCTCCCGGCCGCCGCGCGCGTCGCGACGACTCGTACTCCCGCAGTCCTTCGCCCAAGCGCGGACGCCGCCAATCCAGCTACTCCCGCTCCCCATCTCCACCCGCGCGCAACGCGCCCCGCGACCGTAGCCTCACTCGGTCCCCGCCACCTGCGCGCCGCAGACGCAACAGCTCTTCTGTGAGCAGATCCCGCTCTCCCGCGCCCAAGCGGGCCGCAGCTCGCGAGCCAGCCCGCTCACTCAGCCCCTATTCGCGCAGGGCAGCTGGTCTCGCCGCTCGCCCCCGCAGCCCGCCGGCTCGCGAACCCGCTCGTCGTGAGCCACCTCGTCGCGAGCCCTCTCGTTCGCTCAGCCCCTATTCCCGCCGGGCAGCTGGTCTAGTCGGTCGGGCTCGAAGTCCCCCGCCCGCCCGCGTTCCGGCCCCACCACCAGGCCGCCGACGGGAGAGCTCTGCGGGCGGCAGCGCACCACGGAAGAAACCCCGCTACGACAGCCGCAGCCGCAGTCGCAGCCGCGGTTCGTCCTATGATTCCCGCTCGCCTAGCAGGAGCCGTTCGCCCTCGTCCCGCCGCGCGCGTCCCGCAGCAGACAGCCGCTCGCCCTCGCCTGTGCCGCCCCGACGCGTGGCGGCTAGTCGATCACCCTCGCCCCTGCCGGCTAAGGATTCCCGTGGCGGTCGGCAGGGTTCCTACGACTCGCGGTCCCCGTCGCCTGCGCCCCGTCGAGACGGCGGCTCCGCTCGCGGCAGGTCGCGATCCCCCGGTGCCCCCGGCGGCGGCGCGTCCAAGCGCAGGCTGCACAGCGAGTCCGTCTCCCGCTCGAGAAGCCCGCCGCCCCCGAAACGGGGACGCAGGTGAGCCAAGTCCATCTCGACCGACACGGCGACTGCCGGTGCCATTTTGGCGCCGCGCGAAGGTCCCGCCAAGCGCGGCGGGAGTGCGACAGCCGAGGGGGAAGCAAGCTTGTTGCCGCCCGTTCAGTGATGACGAGGACGAGGTCGAGGAAGGGTTGCGGAAAAGGGGGCCTAGATTGTATCGACTCGTCGGGATCCTCCCGACCCGTCTTATTTGTGACAGTAGCAAACGTCCGAGTTTCCTGGTTTCGTGTATTTGTGCAGCGGCTACTGATGAGAGGGCGAGCTGAAGGGTGGAATGGGACACATGCGCTGCGTATGGGATCAGAGGCGTGCTTGGCTGGGAGGTAGTTGATCATATTTCCTTCGGGCCACACAAGTCGTCCTCCTCAACATTCTCGTGATGCATGTCAAAGTCGTGAGCTTTGAGAGCTGGCCTCGCCAGGGTCTGCTAACTCTGTAAAACCTAGACCACGCGCGAAAGAAACATCTGGCTGCGTAAAGGCCTAGCAACACAGAAGCCCGTATCCAAGTTATAACAGATCAAGCAGACAGATTCGAAAGAACGAACAAATCTATTGCCACCTCGAAAGGCAGGTTCCTTATTCCAAAGTGATATCACAAATCAAGTACTGCACTGCATTGCTCCCCTTGCTGTCCACACTCGTTTGACCCTCCCCACACAGTGAGTGGCCTGCCCTGCTCTTTACCCCTGATGAGCCGGGCTGGCCATTCCCCTACTTCGTTGCCAACTTGGTCCTCCACAGCACAAGTCTACTTCTCCCGACGTCTACACTTGGTCTCCTACTCCTGGCTTTGCTGCAGCAAACCCTGGATGTCCTCAATGTCCTTTATCGTGTCGTTGAACACCCGTGTGATACATCCGAGCACAGTCATGCGGTTCCAGTCGCCTCTCGTCTTCCACACCTCGTCCATGAGTTCGCGGTTGATCTGTTCGAGCTGCTCAATAGTGCAGCCGGACGTGCGGCTTGTGAGTTCGTCATGCAGCGCCTCGACGCGGCTTTCGTGAATCACGACCTGCTGCTGCGAGGATGACGAGCCCGAGTTGCGAATATGGTCATTCGTTGGCGAGTCATTCAGTATGTTGCCCAAGCTGATGGCCTGCGACTTTTGCGCCGCTGAAGGCGTAGAGTTCACTTGCGAGGACTGGGTCGCCGGCCCGTCACTGGGACGGTGGAGGGCGTCCAGCTGCGAATGCTGCCATTGGTCGTCGCCGAGCTGACTGCCACCACCTCCGGGAGGTATCTGCGTGTCGGGAAGCTGCGAGTCGTCCATGCGTGCGTTGTGGTCCGCATGGTAGCCGTTGGTGTGTTGCGTGCTCCACTTGCTGGAAGATCGATCCGAAGGGTCAGACGTCTTTGTGGTTGACGCGTCGTTCAGCAAGGCAGAAGGGGAAACGCCGGGCGGCACAGTCGTGACGACAGATCGTTGGGACAGCTGTGTGTTGCCAGCCGTTGCCATTGCAGACGAGGTTGTGGTGATATGATCCGTGCGAAGCCACTCCGGAGCAGGCGGCTTCATGACATGGGGCTCATAGATCGGCTGGGTATCATCATCAACGCCGCCCATCTGGACATCGCTAAGGCGAGATGGCTTGGTGTTGCCATTGCTGTGCGAATGCAAGTCAGAGCCTATCGCGTCCGCGGTCCGGAGCGGGCTTATGGGCTGGAAACGTGTCGTCGTGTGTCGAGAGCCGGGAATAGGTTCGCCCAGAACGACCGGACCCTGCGAATCACTGTCATTGCCGGCGGCGGTATCGGACTGCACCCTATCCACGATGGATTGCATTGCCCGTCGCTTTCGTTCCTTGTCGGCGGCAAGTTTGGCGCGTTCAATCTGTCTGTGTTTGAGAGCATCCCAGTCAATGTGAGCCGTTTGTTGGATGACGCCGGCCACATCGACATCAACGTTGGTAACGATTTCGTTCGCCTTGAGCGTTCGCTCCTTGTCGCCGATGGCTCTCGAGTCCTTGGCAAGCGTCTTGATGTCCCGGTAAAAGTCTTGCGGCCGGCAGTAGAACCCATTGGAGAGGCGCTCCTCGATGGTGGTAGTCTCCAGGTTATAAAATGTCTTGCCAGTAGCTGTCTCTCTCAGAATGTCGGTGCCGTCTTTGTCCTTGACAATCTCATACGGGCGCACCTCGCCCTCGGCAAGATCGGGCCGGATGTAGTTAGGATCAGTCTCGAGGAAGAGGTGTTCGAGGAGGTGCGATGGTATGACTGGTTGTCTAAATTTCTTGTACTTTCGGTTGATCTGGTCCATGATGGGCTGCAGCAAGACCTTGAGAATGTTCAGCATCTGATGGTCTTTCTTTTGCTGTGCCTTGATTTCTTCTCGCGAGAGAACCTTGGGAGGCGGCGGTGGAGCAACGGGGAGTTCCTCGAGCACACGCTTCTTGCGGTTGGTCGGATCGGGGAACTCGGTTGGGCTCTTGCGAATGTGCTCGATAATGGTGCTGAAGTATTCGCGGCGATTGTCCTGTGCAGAGTGAGCGATAGTTATACGGCCAGGCAGATGGAAAGAGACATACCTGCTTTGGCCGAGCAATCTCCAGCCTGTTCTTCCTCGAAAAGCCAAAGATGTCTTTCAGGAGCTCGGGGGGGGTGGGTTCGCCTTCCTCATGTTCTGCGGTTGCAAGCACAAGGACCGGGTCTGTCGGAGGAATCGACTTCAACATAGCTTTGAATGTGACAAGGGCAACATCCGAAATGCCCATGAACCAGACGTCGATGTTCGGGATATAGATGACACTAGGCTTGTGTCTCTTGACTTCAGTAAATAGTCCGACAATGACTTGCTCCATGGGCTGCTTAAGGTTAGCACGTAGCCGTTGTGGACGGGGAGGTTCTCACTTACACGTCCGTCGGCAAGCAAGTTTGGCAGACCAAAGTTTTGTACATGAACTCCCTCAAAGTAGTGGAGCAAAGCAGAGGATAGATAGCTCTGTCCCATACCAGAGACACCAGAAATTAGGAACCGAGGTCGGAAGATGCGCGAGCGCTCAAACTCCTGGGACAAGGCCTCACGGCCAAAGCCATGGTCGTCATCATCGAATTGTTCGTACATGGCCTCGTCCAGCGCTGTCATCTTCTTCTTACGCGGCAGCAACTCATCCAGGGACTTTTTGATGCTGCTGAACTGGTCGCGCAGTAGAGGGTCGATCGACTTTGGAAGCGGGGCCGCTCCACTGCCTGCAGACCTCTCTGACGACGGAATCATGCGTTTGATGGACATCATGAAGTCGGCGGCGTGACACTGAATCTTCCCGGGGTCCACAATGAGCTTTTCCTTGGAGGAGTACACCTGAGGATAGGTTCGCTGGATGGAGTTGAGCGCAGCTTCGGTGCAGAGAGCGCGAAGATCAGCACCTCCATAACCCTTTGTATTCTCAGCCAGAGATTGCATGAACTCTTCCGAGAGACCCCAATCTTTCGTATGAATGTTGAGGATTGAGCGCCTGCCTTCGACATCGGGAAGAGGGAAGTAGAATTCGCGGTCGAAGCGACCTGGCCGACGCAGCGCGGGGTCAATATTGTCGGGTCTGTTGGTGGCGCCAATCACAATGACTTGACCTCTGCCGTCCATACCGTCCATGAGCGCGAGCAGCGTCGAGACGATGGACGCATGGATCTGCTCTTGCTTACTGGACCGAACGGGTGCCAAGCCATCAATCTCGTCAAAGAAGATAATACTCGGCTGCGTTCTTCTCGCCTCCTCGAAGAGCAGACGAAGCTGCTTCTCGGCTTCGCCAACCCACTTGCTGAGGGCATCAGCTCCCTTCCTCATGTAGAAGGTAATCTTCTTGCCACCGACACTGACTGAATTGGCGAGCGCTCGTGCCAAAAGAGTCTTACCGGTACCAGGAGGGCCGTGGAACAAGACACCTCGTGGTGGTGTGACATGGAATTTCTGGAACAGCTCAGGGTACAGTAGAGGAAGCTGCACCATCTCCTTGAGCTGGTCGATGTGGCCTTGCAGACCGCCGACCTGGTTGAAGTCCACAGACAGGTCAACTCCAAGTGGGTCCGCATCTGCAAGTGCCTTGGTATTCTTGATCTTGCCAACGTTAGGAGCGACTTCCCATGCCAGCCGCATCACCAGCAGCGCCGAGCCCGCCGAGCAGGCCGGCGGGAGCTTGCCGCCGAGTCGGTGTCATGCTAGGGTTGCCAGCAGCACCGGAGCGGTGGCCCATCTCGTCGTCGCTGCTGTCCGAGTCAACATTTCCTGGGCGCCAGTGCCCCATGGGCCGCCAAGTAGCGAACCGCCACCGCCGCCTCCGAAGGGGCCGTAGGTAGCGTTGACAAGGCGATCCCAGTTCTGACTGGCACCACCACGACCACCACGGCGGTTACGGGCAGGCGTGCGCGCCGGCTCGTCGGCCTCGTCTTCTTCGACAGCCAGCGCCGTGACCGGCGGCATGAAATAGTTCATCGGCTTGGCAGCAGCACGGCGTCTCTTGGAGGTTTCCTGGTAGATGATCTCGGGCGATGTGCGCCGGCGGCGTGGGCGCTTCTCGGGCACAAGGTCTACGAGCTCGTCCGCGATCTCATCGCGGTCCAGCTCCACCTCTTCTTCGTCGTCGGAGTCTTGACCGCGACGGGAGCTACGAGCGGAGCGGCGCTTGCCCCGGCCGCGTGGTGTCGGGCTATCGACATCAGTAGCAGCCCGATGAGCCTTTTTGTCAGACGAATCCGACATGCCAGCATCTTCACCCGATTCCTCGCCCGGTTCAAAGTCGCTGCTAGGCTCTTGGGCGGATTTTGATTTGCGCGACAAGCCACGTGTCAGACGAGGCCGAGCCTTCTTCTCATTTTCGTCCACTTCGGCTTCGGGCTCCTCGATAGATGCGGCAGCGGAGGCACCGCTCCTCGCTGCACGTGTGGCGCGTCTGTTGGTGATGGGGATATCATCGTCGTCGTCGTCGTCTTCATCGGCAGCCACATCGCCCTTGACGGACGCATCTTGCGCAACGTCTTTGTCGACATCCTGCATCTCAGCATAACGCTGCGCATCGACAGCAACATCTTCGTGACTGCCCGCAAGCTCGTCTTCGTCTTCGTCGTGGGGGAGGACACTGCTCTCTTGTGTCGCCTCCTCAATGGTCTCGGGCGGTTTCTTGATACCCTTAGCCGCGCGAGACGAGCGGATGCGGTTAAATGTGTCTGGACTTTTACTCTTCGAGGACCGAGACACCGGGCGCTCATGGTTGCCAGAATTACTGAGCTCGACGAGGTCTTCGGCTTCTTCGGTCTGTGAACGGGTTCTCCTGCGCGGCGCTTCGAAAGGCTTTGAGAAGCACCCAGCCGTCTTGATCTTTAAATTTGACGATCTTCTGGGGCGATGTCTGCCTTGGAGGTTCAACGGGAACTTCGAGCTCTTCGCTGACTAGGCGGTTGGATGCCCCGCGATGTCGAGATTTGCCCGCTTTACGATTCTTCTTGTTCGTCGGGGCGTCATCCGAGTCATCGTCGTCGTCGTCGAAGTTGTCCTCCTCCTCTTCTTCGTCGCTCTCCTCGTACTTGACAGGCTTAGCGGCGGCCTTTCGAGTCCTCCGGCCTGCAGCATTGACGGGCGCATCCTCCTCGTCCTCGTCCTCGTCCTCGTCTCCGTCATCATCGTCGAAGGATACTTCTTCGTTGCTGTCAGAGACGTCTTCATCGTCATCGATATCAGAGCCTCCGTACGCGCCTCGTCGCTTCCTCCCGCTCTTGGCGCTCTTGTTGGAGCGCGATCGCTTCTTGGGTCGTGAGGGTCGGTCGTCGCCGGGCTCAAAGTTCTCATCATCGGGATCCGACTCGTTGGGGTCGAAGATTTGCTCCGTGTCGCGTCTCCGCTTGCTGGGCATGTTGTGGGTGGGGTTGCAGCGAGCAACGACGACTGGGCGAGATCCTGGCGAGAGAGAAGGGACGCGCGATAGTTGTGACGAGTCGGTGTCGTGATAGGCAAAACAAGACAGAAGCACCACCACAATGTGGCCTCCCTTTGTTGTATATCGTCGACCTGCAGAGGTACTATTGGTTGACGCAGCACGGTAGCAAGAGTGCGGCGAGTACGCTTTTTAATGATCTCGTTGAATGGTTGGAATGTTCTGACGGTCGAACAGGGGGCGTCCGAGCTTGATGCGCACGACGACGCGCGACAGCTTGACTCGCGTTGCGTGATGGAGGGGGGTTGTGCTGCCAGAGGGAGGGAGGGGAGCTTGGGGAACTAAAAAGATTTGGGTCAGCACCGTCTCGTGTCGCGAGACCCCAGCAGACACGATGTCCAGTAGGCACGATGCCCAGCAAACACGATGCAGCAGAGGCCGAGAGTCGCGTGGCGGCTGCGGCGCACTGGCTGCAGCTCTGGGATGGGTAGGCACTGAGGGTTGACCGTACCGAGTGTTTCGACAATGGGTATCGACAAGAAAATACTGGGGGGGGATGCGTGGGTCAAGGGTGGAGGAGGATGCTGGTCATGGTGGTGTTCGAGGTAGCTCTACAAGCTCAGAGGCGATGGACGCGAGAGGCGGATGAATGGATGCAGGCGTTCGTCGCGGCACGCAATGGTGTCCCCTCAGTCGATGATGATGGTGATGAATAGATTGATGGAGATGCAAGGCCCAGTTTGGGATCAGGGAATGAATGCCCAGTTTGGGATCAGGGGAATGAATGCGTTCACAGTCACGCTCGTCTCGTCCAGAGAGAGATGCGTAGGTAGGAGCAGACGAAGGGCAGGAGGCAAGGAGAGCCGGGGGGGGGTGGCCAGGACCAGTTCGAGAATCAGGTCAGGTTCAGCGGGCAGTAGGCAGTGGCAGACGGCAGTGGGCAGACGTGGGTCTCACGTGCAGGCAGAAGCTCCTGGATACGTGATTTTCGTCTGGTGGTCCGAGCTTGTTGTCCAATTGCAGCAGCCCAATCCCACGCCTTCTCCAATTTTCGAGTGCACCACGCTCAAAACACCGCGTTTGAGCTCTGAATCTCGTGCTTGGAACAAGTCGACGTGAGAGATGCGACCGGAGCTGGACAAGACGACTTCGGAGCCAAACCATGTCTTTTCGACCCAGAATCGACAGCCAACGCCTTTGCGACGCGTTCTTCGGCATTTCCGCGCCGGATTGAGACTCACGAGGACCAGCGCATGCGAAACCAAAAAGTTGCCATGATCACACATGACAACCTGTAAACCATGTCCCATCATCTCGGGCCCCAAGGCTTGCGGCTCGTCGACAAGCGTCAACGGCTCCGAGATCCAGCCCTACGGAAATCTGGGGTAACCATCTCTCTCTCGAGGGACCTCCTCCTAAAGGGGGAGAGACCGCTGTGGCTCGAGCCGCTGGTGTGGGGCTGGTGTGGTACAGCAGCATGTGGCTGATGCCTTCTGTCTCGGGCTCATTTCTCTCACCAGAATTTGAGGCCTTCCAGGCAGCCGGCTTGGCAGTCACGCACAGACGTGGAAGGTCCAACAGGAGCATCACATGACCTGCCAAACCACGCTAAACCCTTCGGCGTCGTCCGAGAAGACGCAGGCCAAGCACCTTGGAGGCTCCATCTACCAACGCGTACAACAGTCACAAGCTGACGACGATGTCTTGCCGAAATACCGTTGCGAGAAGGTTTCCGTCAAGGTTTCCGTCAAAGTTGTTCTCCCTACCACTACCAGTGGGGAGGGTCAACATGATGCTTCGGGCGTGGCAGCTGTCAATGTGACAATGGTTCTTCAGAGAGCGAGAAGGCAACCGAATGAGCAAAACAACCCGCGAGCGAGCCAACAACTCACACACCGGAACATGCAAGCATCAAAGCAAGTGGCCTTTCGCAGCACAGCAAAATTATGACACGTGAACAGACAGCTGGAATTGCTGCTGCCTTACGAGGCCACCCATCCCACTCCCGATAACGACCCAATCGCCTGCCACGATGGCGGACCAAGCAATTCATCCTTTACAGCGCCGACAGCAAGACGATTGGCCCTCATTCGCCAATGGCACCATGAATGCAACCCAACAGACCTCGTGCGCACTCCATTTGCCCGTTTTCGTCACCGTGGGCCCCCCGCCAACGGCCAACATGGACCCATTGTTCGCCCTACGACTGGACCCAGTCCTGACGTGCCGGCCAAGTGGGGGCCACGGGCCGCGGCGCTGTCTTGTCTCACCAATTCGAGGCCTGCCCAGCACGGAAACGCGGCCACGACGAAGGAGCGTGACGAATGCTCTCCAGCAAGTGTGTACTAGACAAGATGTTTTGAATCGAAGGGGGAAAAAAACATATAAGGAACCGCGGTCCCCCTCTCTGAGGCTGAGGAATATCGAGTTTACCATCAAAACAGCCTCACTGACATCGCGAACCAGCTCCCAATTACAGCTACGCCAAGATCATCAGAGCAAAAGGAAACTTACAATCACCACCACACACGTACTGCCTTGGCCTTATCTTGCGATAGTGATAAATACACAAACAGGAGTCTCAAGCAGTACCTGACGACTTCCCTCCCCCCGACTCTTCGTCTCGAAAGTCTCGAAAGGTGTCTCAAGTTGCCGTCCACTGTTCGTTGCATTCGTTGTATCGTCCTCTGAACCAATCAATCAGCCCCCACCACCTTCCACGCGAACCAACCTTGACAATGGGTTTCTCACGCAAGTCCAGCACTGGTCCCCTCGTCGTCGAGAAGGTAAGCCACACCCAAATCTCCGATCTTCCTCAGAAACTCGTTGCTAACTCGCCCCAAGGTCCGCTCTCCATCGTACTCCAGCCTCGCCTCGGACTCCACAACGGCCTCGACCCCGGCCGCCCCCGCTGCACACGGCACCCGCTCGCCCTCCGTCCCCCGGCGCAGCGGCAACGTCAATGTCTACACCCACTGCGGCCGCCACTCCAACGAGTACCTCTTCGGCGGTCATTCCCTGTCCGGCCTCGCACGCTCCATTTTCAAGCGGTCCGACTGAGTGCGGCGCCGCGTGCGGAGGAACCACACACATCTCCGCATCGCCCCGGCAGCGGCCCATTCTCGAGAGTCATTGATCCGCGAGAACCGCACGCAAGGGTGAAAAAGTAACGACTCCACTGGCCCGCACGTGTCCCGCTTGCATCTCTCGCACACGAGTATGAGCGAGCGAGCGAGTAAGACACCAAAAAAGTGCCGCGAGGCCAGCCCAAAGACGAAATTTCGCCAAGACAATAGTCTCCACTGCAGCCAGCGCCCGCACCGCGTGGCAGCTTGGCACTGACGAGCAAGAAAAAGGTCTCAAATCTCCAGGGCCATGCGCCACGCCAGCCAGCCAGAATGCGGGGAGGAAACAGAAGAGTCTCGCCTCCTTCCCCCCAAATTGCTCATGGCTCAGTGTACCCAATCTCACTGCCGGGGCATGTGCCACGCTTGGCGAGGCCTTGGCAGCCTCGACGTCCACGGAGGCTGCCAAGCTTCGCACCTCGACGTACTCCCTCTCGTCTGCGTCTCCCCTGAACCTTCTTTGCCGACCCGCACGCGCCCTTGCTCTGGGTGCGCGCTCAGTGCATGCATGTCGTGTAAACCCGTCACACTCGGGATCCCGTGGTCAGAGCACAGCATCAACACCTTCCATCGGACGTTGGCCGGGACGGAAGTCGGGGACAAGCGCGTGTCTCGCTCGCCGACCTCAGTTGTTCCCTTTCTTTCCATGTGGAGACTCCGGGGAGGGGGAGTTGGGAAGTTTGGGGGCGATCGGCGCGCGGGTCCCGCGAACCCCAAGCGTCACAGCCCCCTTTCCCGGCCGCCCAATGACGGCGGACGAACGGGACCCAACGTCGACGCAGAGCGCCGGAGCATCTCGGACGGAATTCCAGGAAATCGAACGATTATACTTTCCGTGGCGGGAGGGGCAGTTCCCCTTTCTTTCAACACCGTAGCAGCGGCCCGTTATTACTGATTGCGGAACGCGCTGCGATTCACGGCCTGTCGCAACAGACATGGATCACCCCCGCAGTGTGGGCGAAGCACGAGCGAAGGCAAAGGGCCGGTTTTTTTTC